GATCTTTTGCCAAGCTTGTCAGAGGTTACGGGTTCTAAACCGCACTCGTATAGTGTTTTCTCTCTCTCATCAAAACCGAATATGTTCATCACGTTTGTGAGCATTTTATTTTGTGATTTTACCGGAGTCTCCACAACGGCGGTAGATTGAAGCGCGCGTCCGAGTGAAGACTGCGCGAGCCACAGAGAACACTGTATCCATGACACTGATAGCAGCGGACACGAGCGCTCAGCTTGATTTCAAAAACAACAGATCTCTTATTTAATAGCGAACTAAATGAATGGTCTGCTAGTTAACTGTAGAGATACCCGCAAATTACGCCTATGAACGACTTCACTGGATCTAAACAAATCAATCTAAACCATAGATGTTACCAGTAGCGGTGGCTTTTTTAAATCTATTTAAAATAATTTCGCAAGGGTTCTATGACATTAGTATATTTTTAGGAAGTTCAATGTGCCCAGTCGAGTTCACATTTCAACAGTCAACCTGGTAGCTGAAGTAGTCCTTAAACCATATTTAGCATAATTGTTTGTTTGATCTGACTACAGCACTTTAAAGCTAAATGTAAAAGCTTCTATTTAAGTTTTATTTTAAACTTGAATTAAATGTAAGCTGGCCAAAGCTTGGCACTTTGCACTTTTTAGTTGCAGAAGTTTTTATTTTTGTATGAAGTCATATAAAGTAATATCAAACTACATTTAATTTGTTGTGTTTTTTTTTCTTTTAAATTGTGTTTACTGCAATCAATCACAGGAAAAAGTAAACTACATTTATATACTGCGAATCGGTTTTTGAATCGAGAATCGTTTTTGAATCGAAAATCGATTTTGAATCGAATCTTGAGACAAAAAATCGGTATCGAATCGAATCGTGACATTTTCTGAATCGTGCACCCCTAGTGTCATATGCGTGTATATTAGGTGTGTGCCGGGCCTTAAAGTGACAGTAGCCTAATAGTAAACATGCTGACACTTGTCCTTAAAGGGATAATTAATTTACTCTGTTGTTCCAAACCTGTATTAATTTCTTTCTTGTGCTGAACACAAAAGAAGATATTTTGAAGAATAAGGGTAACCAAACAGTTTCTGTTCCCCATTGACTTCCATAGTAGGAAAGAATATACTACTGAAGTCACTGGGGACCAACAACTGTTTGGTTACCCTTATTCTTCAAAATGACTTATTTTCAACAGAAGAAATAAACTTTTTTGTGTTTAAAACAACTTGAGAGAGTAAATGATGACAATTTTCATTTTGGGGGGAACTATCCTTTTAATGTTAATAAAACAACAAAACACAGAGAAAACAATTTACTCCTGTTGACTGAGAACCTTAATAGTAGCTTTAATAAGAATCAATGTATAATTTATGCAGTAAAGTCTATGTAGTGTTTTATTTTTATATTTGTTCATTTAATTTCTTGTTCTTATATTTTAATAACAAAGAAAATAGAGACGTCATTCTTTTTTTTTTTTTTATTGTTACCTTGTAAGGCTTTGTTTTTAAAACAGGGACGTTAGTTTGGCTGTAATGCTCAGTCACTTGCAATCAAATAAAAAAAATGGTGATCTAATATTTTTGTCATATCGCCCACCCCCATCTTAAATCATTATTAGATGCTGCTTAAGCTCTGTTGACAGCATCTACAGCATGCGGATGATTACAGATAATAATTTTGACTCGTACTTCAGTTTGTTAAAACAAACCATAAACTGATGAAATTGTCAGTTCGTTTCTGTCAACACAAAGTGTACATCGACAAGCTGCGCATACAAAATAATCCCAGCCTTTGCGATTTCGAAATCGCGACAAGCCAACTCGTTTACGTGCGATTACATGGAAATTGCGATTAATCGAGCAGCCCTACAAATAACGCAACTTTTCCATGGGTTCAGCATCCAGACATGAGTGCCGCCATGTTGGATGCCATATCCATTCAAGGCAGTTGTCTTTGATGTTATCCTGTCTGGAATTTCAAAAATGTTTCTCAGGTTTTATGTGCTAGCAGCACTGAGCATGGTTTCACTTATCGACTTGATATGTCTTGCGTTTACTTTAGTCTAGAGTTTCATCTGATGCATTTTGTGTGCATTTGCCCTCACACTCTGTTTTGGCCAGTGCTTCGATCCAGATTCACCTTTTTGCTAATGTTGTCCCTCACCAACCCCCAACTCTGGTATTCCAACAATGTGGAGAATGAGCCATGGCTGGCCGTAATAGTTGTTTGCTCTTTTTTTCCTGGTTGTCCTGTCCCCACAGTTTTGTACTACTGATTTATTGTCTGTTTTTTATCTACAAGTTGTTGTTTTTTTGTTTGTTTTTTTTCCTGTAAGGAAAACCATGATGAGATCATACAATGGAGTCCACAAGTCTGAGATCACATTCCTTTATTTTAATAAACAATGTTTGATTTACAAAAATCATGTTTAAATGGAAATAAATATCCCAGTGTAGTCTTGAGTTTTGGACCCCGCTGTATCTGTATTTCTATAAACACTATTTCTACCTCTTAAATTCTTTAATTTCTCTCTAATTAAATTAAATTCTCAAATTTTTCTCGAATTAAATTAAATTCGCTTTAATTTCAGTAGAAGATGTTTAAGAATTGACAGTTGCTACCGAATTGTTAAGAGAAGGTGTGTATTAGGGGTGGAACGGTACACAGAAGTCACGGTTCGGTTCATACCTCGGTTCAGACATCACGGTTCGGTACAATGGAGGGAAAAGCAAAACAAAAATGCAGAAGGCATTGAATTTTTTAATTAAGTTATTAATAAAGGCATAGAACCAGTTTATTTGTAGTGCACTGACAATAGTTTTATATAATTAGTTTATTAATTAAATTAATAAAAAGACAAAAAGACCTTGCGATATGTTTGGTAATTGTACCTGAATTAATTTAAAATTATTTTGCTATATTTCAGATCAATATATTTGTTTTCCTTCATTTTAATTAACATTATTAATTGACAATGTAACATTATTCTCATCTGAATTATAAATAATTGATTTCTGTATAAAATAATACTACCATTAAAAACACATTCGATTTTCTTTTTTTAATCAATGTAGAGTATGTAAGATTAGTGCTCCGAGGACAAGAAATGAAAACCAATGCAATATGATGAAAAAGATGTCATCCACAGACTGTTTTGAAATGGAGTTGGATAAATATGTTTTGCTTTTAAAACAGTGTGTTTGTGTGTGTGTGTGAGAGATTTTGGTTGGGTGCAGTTGTAGGTTACAGTTTGACAAGAGTTTACAGTGTGACAAAAGCACAATGTTGTGTTTTATTGCGAGTGTACACAAATATAAGTAAACACTTTGCAGGTTTAATGATCTGTATGAACAAAATGACGGAGTATGTTTTTTATGTTTCACTGTTCGATCGTGCGCGCGCGCGCACACACACACACACACACACACACACACACATACACACATTGCAATCTTGACATCGCAGCCTGTTCGGTCACACTAAACGCGAATAGAGCGTCAAATTCGCGTCTAGTTCGACGCTAGTCCAAAGCGAGTATGACGCGCGTATAAACCCAACGTTTGAAGTGAACGCGCGTTCAGAGCTAAGCCGATGGTACAGATTATGTGTCCCTAAAGAACCCGCATATCTAACAGTAGTTCCGCATTACATTAATTAATTTGCACGCGAGTTTTATTTAGTTTTATACCGTGTATTCTCCGTGTAAATTCGTGCACCGAACCGTGACGCCCGTACCGTTTCGGTTCGGTACGAATACATGTACCGTTCCACCCCTAGTGTGTATGCAATACTATTAGGGAAAATATCATATCAAAATATTGGGTTCATGTCTTTTAAATTGAACATAATTATTTTCTCTAGTAGTTTAATTTAAGACTGGAATAGACTACCGTGAAACTTCAAATAATAGCCGAGTCCCAAATAGACGCCTGTCTCTTTTACACGCCTGGTGTGGCTGCAGGTTTGGGTAAATAAAGGCCGGTCTCAAATAGAGGCCGGGTCTGTTTTTTAGTTTCGGGTTGTATTTAATCCTCTAAAACCGTCAGATCGTCCGCTTTTAGGCAGCCGCCAAAGCAAATTTGTGTCCCTCCAAAGCCTTTTTTGATCGATGAGTGATGTAGAATAGACTGCTGCGCTTGACAGGGCACGTTACGAGGAGAGAGAGAGAGCGAGAGCGCGCGCCCCGACTCTCACGTCTTCAAACAACACGTGGCTGTCTTGCTCTCTCCCTCGCGCATATTAATCAAAATCAATTGTAAAAGTAGTAAAAGGTCGGAAGACCGCAGTTTCACGTGGAGCATTTGGAGATTTTTAGAGATTAGATACAGGCCTATACACTCAATGACCAACATCTCAACACTAAATTATAAAGGCCGGTCTCATATAGACGCCTGTCTCAAATACAAGCCGGTGCAGTTCGACGATTTGGGAAAATAAAAGCCCGGGCTACTATTTGAAGTTTTACGGTACTCAAATTTTGCCTAGATTTTTGCCCCAATTCGCAGTCTGTAGTCAACACTAGTTGCCCTAAGGCAGAGCTAGTCTGCAGATTTTGGCTTGTCAGAATTGGCAGTTTTTACAGAAAAGTGTAGAAAATGTCCAGATTTTCTCTAACCATTTACAAAGTGAAAATGTATGAAAGCGTTTGACATCTAGTGGTTTCAAATCTTTTCAGACTGTACACAGTTGTGTAGTGTATTACAGACTTCAAATGGTATCTATCGGATGTGTGGTATGCAAACTGCTGTCGCATGATATGATTTAATAACATATCGTCCACCACATGCAAATCTCATTCCACCATGATTCAAGTGCCTGTGGGAGCTACGTTTTACACCACAATCTTTTTATAATGAACATAAAAAATAGAATAACATGCATTTTTTGACCCCGAAGTCGAAATCCCCGTTAAATTTTGCTTTGAATCTTCCGTTTTGTCCCTTCGCGTCATCTCTGATAAATGGTTGATTGTCCCTTTGTCTCTCTATCTCTCTCTACAGGAGTATCTACCATCACAGCAAGACATCCTGCTGGCACGTAAGCCCACCAAGGGCATTCACGAGTACGACTTTGAGATCAAGAATGTGCCCTTCAAGATGGTGGACGTGGGCGGCCAACGGTCGGAGCGCCGCAGGTGGTTCGAGTGCTTTGAAAGCGTCACCTCGATCCTCTTCCTTGTCTCGTCAAGCGAGTTCGACCAGGTGCTGATGGAGGACCGGCTGACCAACCGTCTCATGGAGTCACTTAACATCTTCGAGACCATAGTCAACAACCGCGTCTTCAGCAATGTTTCCATCATCCTCTTCCTCAACAAGACAGATTTGCTTGAGGACAAGGTCAAAACGGTGGCCATCAAGGACTACTTCCCCGAGTACACAGGGGAGCCGCACAGCCTGGAGGACGTGCAGAAGTTCCTGGTGGATTGTTTCCGGAACAAGCGGCGAGACCAGCAGCAGAAGCCCCTCTACCACCACTTCACCACCGCCATTAACACAGAGAACATTCGCCTGGTCTTCCGTGACGTCAAGGACACCATCTTGCACGACAACCTCAAACAGCTCATGCTGCAGTGATGTTTGTCCAACCGTTTCCTTTCAGATCTCTCCGAAATAACCCTCTTCTGCTCAGATGTTTGTACTCCTCCACACAGTAACCTTTCTGAATAGCTCTGACGTGCTTTTATGCGAGGAAGACGACGGCCTAGCCTAGCGGTCTGTCACGAGCGCGCGATGGCGGGTAGTTATTCTCTTAAAGGGTAAGCTTAGAGAAGAGTGCATTACACTCACACACTCACACTTGTCCTGCCAAGAGAAGCTGTACGTGTCATTGAGCGGCACCCTCTCGCCGAAGGGTGCCAAACGCAATGCGTTCCTCCCTCAAAAAGTGGAAGAAAGCAGGAAGAGATTCTAGCACTGTCTTTGATCTGTTACGTTTGAGCCTTTTATTACTGACCAAATGGCAAGATGAGATGCAAATGCTGTTTTAACCTTTTAACAGGATCTATGTTCTGAGCCTTTCTGTCGATTCCTGCCTGGCCTTAATTTCCCCCCTCCTCATTTTGATTGGTGTTTTTAACGTGTAGATGTCTAATCAATTGTAAAATTTTAGAATCAGTTTTTTTTATACATATATATATAGATCTATGAATATATTTACAGATAAACTTAAGTTATGTTCCAAAACGTTTACACTCTGATTTTCCTCTGCTGATGGACAACGCTCACAATTCATACCACTTGATAAACTGAACTTATACTGTGGTTAGCCACGCTAGGCGAGCTGATAGATACAGTATGCATACAGCATAAACTCAGGGCTGAATGTAGACCACTTTAACTGTTCGCCTTCAGGAACATCCACTTATTGTAGCTCTCCATCAGTGGCTGGAAATCACATTTCCTCGCTGGCCTGCAGACATCCTCCTCCTCCTCCTCCTCCTCTCTGCCCTAGCTAGAGTCTGGAAGAACTTCTTTATCCATCAGGGGACAAAAAACGGTGTCTTGTTAATTTATTTGCTTCGTTTTAAATCCACAACCAAACTATACTGGCTTTTCGGTCAGATCCCGCTAACAAAAGCCTCTGTATTCACAAGTGCCACGTGTTAAAGGTACCAATAATTCGAACAACTTTCCTCAAAAGGGATAGATCTTACGATGTGAACCTCGTTCCCTCAATGGTTGTGTATAGCTACTTTGTATAGTGCCATGTCCGCCCTGAATACTACCGTTGTAGTAAGTATTTTATGTAAATAGTCTCCACCTCACCCTCCTCACTCTTTTCTAACAGATTTGTAACCTACACTGAAATGTATAGCTGTATTTGCCACGGCACCCACAAATCCAGAGATACTGACTCCCTGCCCACAGTTCGCCCCATTCAAGGCTGCTCTTTTAGCGCTTTTGGCTGCTTCATCTCAGCTTTTGCGCTGAATGATGCCTGTGTATATCCTCGACGCATTCAGATGGCTGTAGACCGGCACAGCAGTAGAGGACTCTTTGTCTGGTGCCGAATTCCTGGCTTAAGTCCCGAAAGGCTCGTGAAAAGCAAGTATTGCGTCTTCACGCTCCACTGGCAGTGTCCTGTGTCTTCTAGTGCCATTCACTGCCCCCGATGCCAGGAAACTGGGAATTGCGGAGCTTTTGTTGTCGTCTTAGTATCCGACTTTCACTTAAACTCAACATGTTCCAAGCACAAGATTTTGACTGATTCGAATGAGTTTCAGTGTCATTTGAGAATGCTGAATAACCTCTAGTATTTGCTGCCTGGTTCTAGCATGCTGAGTCTTAAAACGTTGTATTATCTGCCTTTGAACTTAATAAAGCAAGTGTTATGCACTTGCCAAAACCCAGAGGAATGGGTGAGGACGTTTATGAGTCCCGCGACTTCCTGTGTGCGAGAGCCCTGAGGGTGAACCCAAGTGCTTTTGCAAATGATGTCACTGTCTGTTGTAGCTTTGACAGATATGACGGGTGGAGGACAAAAGCCGTCACCCGCTGACACGCACGATGTCTCTATCGGAGCGCATCGGTTTCTGTCGTCTCCTAACGGTTGACACGTTTAAAGGAAGGGCGACGCTGCGGATAGATACACTACTCCTCCGTACACTGTGATGTGTGAGAGAGATAAACGTTTTCTCTGCTCTTCCTGTAAGAATTGTCTTTCTCACTGTAGCTTTTCCTCTTAAACGTGATTCTGATCAGAGGTGGCTGATTTGCCCTTTTCAGTTTTGCCCAGATAATCAAGTTTGATTATAATTATGCAAGACGTATGCCTGCCACAAAAGGATTCAGTGCCTCCAGTTTGATGCCTCAGACATTTCTGGTCCTTTTTTGTACTTAGGTTTTTTGAATTTTGATTAATGTGGATGCTTATGAGTCCTCAGCAAAATAATTCATTCTAAAGATTAAGACTGTTGCTGAATATAGACCTGCTTTTCATTGTACAGTCTAACCTATGCTTCCTCATTCTTCATCCTTGACTCAATAAAATCATTTTGCAAAAACTGTCATTTGATGTATTTTTTTGGCTCAGAATAACTACGTTTGAGCAATTCTGCAGCTTGTTTTAATTTCTACAAATATTTCTTAAATCGACAACGGTGAAAGTGCAATTCCACTTTGTGAACACTAGGTTGTGGTGTTATACCAAATATAGCCAGGGTTTCAGTCAGTTCTACTTCATTTAAAATAATCGACTTTACAAACAATAAAATAAAGATTTTTTTTTTTACACTCGTAATATTATAAATGCAATTGTATTTATATCATGGATTTTCACTGTTCTTGAAAGAATGTTTCAGATTTTATATAAATAAGCTTCATTTATATTAAATCTAAAGCATCCTTGAACAGCATGAAAAATCAGAATATAATTAGAAATTTGTCATGTTATTGCTACATAAAATAATTTGTGCAGAAACAAAGATTGACGACTAATCTGTGGTGCAAGGCATCCCAGAGGAAATGTTTAATTTTATTTTGATCTGCAGTTAGTGCCAATTCATGTCCAATATATAATGCAGACGAACTAAAACCAGTTGTGTCTGTGCATTATATTTCTCTTTTGTTTTGACAAATATTCAAGTAGATACTACAGGCAGTGCTGTTGCCACCTCACTGCACTCCTCCACAGAGCGAGGTTCCTCCAACTGCATGTACTGTGCTTATCTGCAGCAGCAGCAGCAGAGCGAGATGACTCAGCTCTTTGTCCAGTGTCATGTGACTGCTTCAAGGCCACTGTGCTTATGTGGTGTTTCCCAATAAGGTTAAACCTGTGTAGTGGCAATCAAACAAAAATGACTGAGCAGGACTCCATTATACAGGGTTCCAGAGTCATTTCCACGTCTGGATAAGTATGGAAAAATATTTGTATTTCCAGACTACTGCCCCTATAAAGTTTTCTAAAATATATAATCAAGAATTTCAAGCAGAATGTTTTCCTGGCAAAAGTTAAGTAATCCTTTAGTGATTGCCGAACACAATTAAATACATTCAAGGCGCATATTTTCACATCGAATGTGCGTGTGCCACTCGAACCACCAGCAGATAAAGCAGCAAACAATCATCTAAATCAGACTTTACTTGGCCGTTTGGTGATCATTCAACATCAAAACACGATTACAGTATCAAACTGATGTTTCAGAGGTGAATATATGCAGGTTATAAAGCGTTTGAGGTTTCTTCTCATCTTGTAAACGCATGTCATCACTTTGAGAAAACCAATGGGAAAAAAATTAAAGTAAGAATATTTACAGGTGACTACTAGCCTGGGAAAACCCAGACAACTTCCGGCAAATTTAGATAAGTTAGTCTGGCAAAGCTCATTCAAGCTCATTTCCAATCCGCCGAAATCGAGGCACCAATCAGAAACGTTGGGGCGGGCTTTACACGATGACGACAGCGCTGGGATTTTGAAGCAGATTTTGTAGCCTACATTACAAAGATGGATGCCGCCGTCGAACATCACTCGTTCGAATCAGCTATCGTGTCTGTTTTAAGCGATTTGAACGTTTCCTTTTAGTTAAAACCCGAGCAAAGAACAACACTTCCTTCATCGCTCTGATTGGTTTTAGGCCTATCCGTGACGTCCGTTGGTGACGCCCCTCTGGAAATGATTCGTCTATGACGCAGACCATAACTCAGTTACAACTGAGAATGGTCTGGTTTTAACCAGGCTAGGTGACTACTATACCAAAAATAATGCTGTATAATCAATTTGTTAAAAATGGTCTGAAAAATCTACAGAAAGGTTTGTAAATTTGAGTGGAAAAGTATGGAATGGAAAATCCTGATTATAAAAATCATTGTTTATTATCCATTAAAGAAACCGTCATTGCAATATTCAGAAGTGCAGCATCTCACAGGCAGAAGTCTGCATTACATTAAAAAAAGATTTGAACAAATCAAAGAAAAAAGGCACACAACACGTGGCTTCTCATCAAAAGTACAAAACCCAAATAAACAGTGTTTAAATACATTTATGACAAATAAAGTTTACAGAACATAAGAGGTACATAAGAGTTCAAGTCATTAAGTGCATTTAATGGAATTTACCTACAGACTCCTCTCCAGAAGTGTAAAGTCCAGGTTCAGAAAGTAAAAGTCCTCCTCCACAGTATTTTTTTCCAATCACCTAGATTTGCTAATTAGCACAGTTTTTCAGCCAGGAGAGAGAACTAATTAGTCAGAGCAGCTGGCCGAGTTCATGAGTGGAATAAACATATGACAGGACTTTTATTTTCTGACCCCTGGACTTTACACCTCATATGCTAGAATATATTTAATTCTTTTTGCATTTAAATTCACTTTTTGAGTCAAGATGCTCATCCAGTGTTATCTGTGTTTGGGGCCAGTTCTCACAGAACACACTCCACTGCGATACTCGTTACGGATGTCTCTGAGCTGCATTAATTTCATCGGTTTACGCGTCTCGAGACTGTTCTTTTCCATTCTTCCGTGCCACATCTTGTTTTGTTTTGTTTTGTGCGTTCCACTATGCTGCTTTTAAAGTCGACAAGACAGAAGTTGTGATAGTGTTTTCCTCAATATTGTGATATATTCGAGTGAAATGGCTTCCTGAAGAAGAAAAAATGTAGGGCGGGACTTAATTTTGTCAGGAATTGATTGGATCGTTGTGATGTCGTGACTCCGTTGTGCCAGTAAAACATGTCATCAGAAAAGATAAGAGATGATTTGATCAAAGATAATAATAAAGATAATTATAATACTGCAATATTCCATTAAAAAATGATTTGCCAATCACCATGAAATGGTGACTTTAACTAGACTGACAGTTGCACCGCCTCATGTGGCGTTTTCAGCGTCTCATGTCAAGTTATAAATGACCTTTTTAAAAACGCATCTCGAGAGACACCGAATCTCATGCTTTTAAACGCAACAACGCGTTCCATGTGAACGGCCCCTTTAGCTTCCTAGTTTCAAGTCACAAGCTCTCGATTCCGCAGAATTCCTGGACAAGGCACAGACTCCAAATTACAGCGGTAACATGACATTCTTTCGCCATAACTTATAAGAAACTCTTGAATGTGTTTCTAAGTAGACAGCATCTCTGAGCAGGAATTCAGAGGCCTTTGACATTTGTCAGCATAATTCATCCCTCATTCAACATGTTCTGACTGATGATGGAAGACTTGCCAATCTGCATCATCTATAATAGTGAATGTTTGGAAATAAGTGGTGAAAATCATCAAATCTGCATTAAACAAGAGACCCAAGCAAGCAAATGATGTATAACACTAGACAGCTTCGTACCCGTCTCACCTTTAACTTTGAATGAGGTTTATTCAACCTAATGCAATATAATACGCATCATGGCCTCACTGTAAGCAACAAAACAGCCTGAGGTTTCATTTTTTTTATGTTAAAGCTGAGAACTGAGCGTTGTGATGATTTTTGGTCGATATAATTCTGAAATAAATAGTCAGCTTCGCACTTAGCTGACTTTGGTAAATGAGAGTTATAGAATTGAACGCTTAATAGGTTTAATTCTTGCCCTGTCTAAAAGTGTGTGGAGACCGTAGTATGTGTACTACCACAGTATGAATGCAAAGGAGCCTTGTTCCCTGTTTCAATAAATAATAACGAGTAACACAAAAAATGTAAACTTGTTTTGGGGGTTATGATTGGGTGTTCAGCATAAGTGCAATGAAGAGTGATTAAACATTTGATTTGTGACTGTTTTGCCCTGTTGGAACAGGGATTTTGTGTACTGCAACCTTTGGGACGACATTCAAGTGGAGGATAAGGAGCATGTTTACTCTTGAGGTGAGGCGGTATTCATACTGGCCAAGGTTTGCCCTTCGTAGGACTGTTGTCTGTCTCCATGTCCATTTCTACAAAGTCAGCAGTGCCATCATCACTTCCCTGTGAGGTAGAGTCTCTGTCTGGTGTTTGCTGGTCATTTCTCCTCCTCCCAAGGCAGAATCCGGATTTGGCTGGACGCACCAGTCCAAGAAACAGAGCCCCTACTCCCATCCCAGCCGCGCAGG